TTTGCCATTTGCCTCTTTTTAAAGGGGAATCACTTACACTCCCCATTTCTGGGGATTCCGATGTAGTATCTGTTCTGTTTGCACGACTTCTTAGACCATCGCTTCTGTGTGGGCGTTGCATTCGCCTGTGGTTACTTGTCTGCAGATTATTTTAAGTAATTATCAAGCGATTTGCGTAAAGGTCTTAAGTGTTCTCAACTTCTGAAGAGGTCTCTGATGACGATGACGATGAGGATGGCGATGCCGATGAGCGGGGCTGGGCGTGAATTAAACATGTAAATTTAAACAGCCAAGTGGAAGACAGTTGCATGTAATTGCGGTGGCATAGTGCCAGGGCAAAAGAGGAACAACTTTTATATTCTACAGCCATGAAAAGACGCAATTAAATTGCAGTTAGAAAATGTTTTTGTCCCCATCTTAAGTGTTAAGTGACCTGGGGTGCCTTGTGACCCCATTATCCAGTGTCGATTGCCTATTAGTACTTCGTGGTAGACTTGCTACTATATAAATGGGAAAATAATATACTAATTCGTTATCATAATCTACGTAGTTAACTTTCCCATTTTAAGAGATTCTACCATTCCATTAGTTAATATATATATCCGTTAGCATTATCTACTATTTTTTTTTAACGAATGCACCCATGGAACTTCATCGCTGTTTTTAGTAGACACAATATATTTTTTAGGGTCACAACTGCGGAACCGGAACCAACAGTGAGGTGAGGACATTTCACAGTCATGAGTGCTGAAGGATAAACGATCTACGGTCGGTTAGCCTACCTAAACACAGAGCATTTAATACAATTTATTGTGGTGTGTGGAGTCTGTTTCATCTCGGGCGAGGGAGACTGAGTTGCGGCATCTCCGGGATGAGTGTGTGCCTACTGCCTGATGTTATATAACTTATTACGACCATAATTAACACTAAATTCCCCAAACGGCAACGGACAACTGTCATCTGCAAAATCATTTGCGGTAAGGAGCCAGAGCAGAGTTCGCATGTCGACTGGCTGTCCCCGTTTTTGCCCCCTGTCATTTGGCAGGATTCGGCTAGTAAGTGTCCTCATGCTTCGCCTCCTGCGAGTCCCAGGACTTGTGCTGACTTATGCGATGCGTCGTGCTGCAGCAAATTATAAAATGTTTGCCCTGCCGCATTTTCCACACATCACACAAGTCACATGTCCTGCAGGCCCTTTGGGTTCGCCATAAGACGATGGGTCCTGCTGCATTAATTTTCTGTTTCCTACTCGTAATCAAATTAGCAAAACCCAGACGAATTGAGGTCACATCTTGCAGCTGCAGATGGCAGATCATTCACCCAAAGAACCTTTTAAGAGAGATATGTGAACAATAATTGTAAATGCTCAAAAATTATTACATTGTACAGGAAAAGTATCAACCTAGTACATTCATTATATTGGCGCATCGTTATTGGTACTAGGCACCTAAGATCCTTAAGATAAAGACACAACATATGTACTATAAACAATCGACCAAGACCAGCTAACTTCCTAAGCCCTGTCAGATAATATTCAATTTTACATTGCAACCATATTGATTATGAGCATTAATCGGGGCTGCAACAAGCGATTGTCCGGCTACCCACTCAACTCCCAATACCATACAGATTACCCAGGATACGCAGGCTTTGATGGAGCATTTCGGACCGCAGAAGCAAACAAACACTCTAATTGAAGGGAGGAATCTGCAGGAGTCGGCTCTTTCTTCGATGGAATCGGTGCAGAACTCCACAAATTCCCCAATCAATACAACATTGCCGTGGGGAAGGGTTGAAGAGGCCCAAATTTCATATATATCACCCACTGCCACACACATGCACACGTCGAGTTTTGAGTTACACAGCCGCAAATAGACAAGCATTCTATCCAGTTGAGTCATCAGGATTCCCAGGGACGAAGGACTACTCGACTACCGTTTTGGCCAAGACACTTGTATTCGAACCAAGGGCCTGTGGGCGAGCCGTCTGACGTTTATGATTGCAGCAAACAAAGGCTTCGATGACTGCACTTGAAATTGATAATTACGTCGGGCAATATTTGTCTATTGTCGCTGCAGAGGTCTTTGATTCGAATGCGAATCGAACCGCTTTATTGATTACTCACCAAACTGTCGCCCTTAATCAGAGAACTCATTTTAGCTCTTGATTCCTCAAAGTATGTTAGTTTTCGATTGAAAATGAGACACAACTGAGGTATCGTTTGAAAGTGTCGCCCAATGACAGTAATATAATTAAGGTGCCAGTGAAAGCTCTGCCGAATACCATTAATTTTCAGGAGTATTGTATTGCAGAATATGCTTTCCAATTTGCCGAACTTTGCACAGACTGCCTTGAAAGGAAAGCAAAGGAAAACTCGACTACAAGCCATCTCTGTTATCAGACAATACTCCGCCATGTTGTTTGTCCAACGAGAAAGTTTTCAACATGCAAAAGCTTCTGTAGCATTTCTCCACCCCCTTTCCCACTCGATATTGACCTGAGTAAGGCCAGGTGTTTTATGCGGAAAAATATTATCATATATAAAAGTTTTATGGCAAGAACAACACAAACTCGAAGTACAAGCAAAAACTAGGTGTCCTTGGCTGAGTTTTGTCACTTATGGCATAGTTACTTGGAGAAAAACTTAACGCAATGGTGCTGGGATTATGCGAATTAAAGGCGAGAACTAAGGGATAAAGAGAATTTGGGATAGATTTTTTGAGTAGTTAGAAAAAGTATTAGAATATCGGAAAGATTACCAAATGAAAATTGCTTAAGTGTCACTATTTATCATAGAAAAAATTACATTTTTTGAATTACGGCTTGCTTATAACCTTAAGCTGCCAAATCTTTAATATCTCAAAGACAGACTGAAAAAAAGGAATGACAGTTGGTTAGCCATTTGGCTAGTTCCACGCACTACTGTCGTTCCACTGCGACCCGCGTTGTTAACTGAAACTAAACAGTACAAACACGACTGTCAACAACTGCAACATTTACCGCATGTCCACGTCCAGCTCGGCGCTGGGTGACAGGACATGTTGTGGCTGCTGGGGCTACCGCACAGCCACCCAGATCCCCCCCCCCCCCCCCCCCCCACTATAACCCCATTGGACTACATCTGAGTGTCCATACGGTCATCGGGGTCCACCCAACTACTTCCCCTCTCCGCCGGGAAAGGAGAAATTGCTTAATTGGTCAACTGCATTTTAGAAACGCTCCTGTTTCGCTTTTGAGTGCTACTTTAATACAGGTGAGGTTATGGTATCGGTATATTTTTACAAGTCTTCAAATATATTAAATGTGATTCTTTGCTAAGCTAATGTTATAATAAACTTATTTTACAGATTCTGAAAAATAATTGTTTATAATATATGAATAAATTAAAAAAATTCTATGTAACATTTATTTCAGTCTAAATAAAATATCAAAAAGGAGATATATTCAGATTTAAAAAAAATCTTAAATGACGATACAAGTGATCGTATTTTAATTTTTTAACCACAAAGTAAAAACAAAATGTTTGATGTAAAGAGCAAATATATTTAGCAGCTCACTTCCTTCTTGGTATTATTTATTTTTTCTTTACGATTATTTTCAGTCGCTTCCATAAAGTTGTCTTTTCCTCACGATCAAAGCGGTCACGATTTCAAAAATCTTAGGGAATGACAGCTTGGCACTTTTTTAAGGCACGCCATATTTGGTTCACGTTCTTCGGTAACTTTATCGCAAATACTTCCTTGAAAACAGCCATCAGGCCCGTGGGCCAACTTTGCCGGCCATTCTTTTGGCTTTCCCCTGACAGCTGGCCACGCCCTCGCCACTGACATGTTCCACTTGCCAAATATAGATATATTATATATACGTACCTACTCATCCGAGCACCTCTCATCGCCGTTTTGCCTTGGGCCAATTCATAAATTAGACTTTGCATGCAATTTCGAGTGATTTCCCATCTCCCCCGACTCCTTACTGCCATAGATATCTATATGTTTTCCACGGTGTCCGTTCTGCCGCATTGAACATGCAATTTATGAGAGCACAAATTTTATTTGAATTACAAAAAATAAAACCCAAAAATGGCGAAAAGAAATCAAATATGTTTTTACCAATTTCTGGACGATTATCAAGAAAAATAGCAAAAAACGCTTGGCCCAATTTAAACATTTTCCCTTTTCCGCTATTCGGACAAATAAATTCAATAATTTATTGCCCGAAAATAGCTTGCTGTACTCGCGATAACAGCTGCGGCAAATATTTAATCAAAACGCTGTGTACAATTTAAAGTGAACCAGCAAAAAAAAAACAAGGGTTCGACAAAAAAGCAAAACAAAAAAGTGAGTCCCTGGGGGCGAAATGTGAACTGTATTATCACCTCAAATGTGTGTAACAAAGTGCCGAGGAGGCCTCTGACACAAAGCAGCTCGTTTTCCCCCCACAATTGGCAACATGACGCAAAAGGCAGCAAATAAGCGAAGGGTAGCATATGACAATGGGGATCTCCTCGAACCCGGAACCCAGACTCCTCCAATCCCGGCCAGAACAAAGGGCCGGGCCAATGAAGTTATCACTGTGCGCCAGACAAGCCAACAGACGGCGATTGGGGAGCGCCGAGCACATGGGCAAATAAATAAATTACCCCTGGGCTAAGAAGTCAGCTACTTGGTCCTCGCAGGTGGATCAAGGTACTAAGCTCTTTAATAGAAATAACTTTATAGGTATAGAGTTCATTGAGGAGGGGCAACTATCACTGCACAACTGATTCACAAAATATTGAGCCGTAGGATACTTTCGATTGGATATACATCCAAGCATTATATCTAGAAATTAAATGACTAATCTTATGTTGTAAAGATTCCATAACCTAAACTTTGTATATAAGTCGATATTATAATTAGACCCTTTTTCTATTGATCTAAAAATGTTAGACAGTCTTTTCTTATGTTTTAATATAATATTTGAGGGTATGTCAAGTTATAGAATCGAAACAGAAGGCTATGAGGAACTAATACACATTTAACTGCCGTACTACTTACAATTGTGATTCAAGAATATTTAAGTATTCTTTTGCAATACATAGGATAGAGAAACCATCTGATACTAGTCATGTCCAAGCCTACGAACCTAAAGGATGCCTTGGCCAAGTGGGAGGAGCGCAATAAGCAGCCGGCCAGCACCGCCACAGAAATTGGCCTGCAGTTCCAGTATCCCCCGATAGAGAAAATGGATCCGATCCTCAACACGCTGACAGAGTGCCAGAAGCTCAGTTTGTCCTCCAATATGATTGAGAAGATAAGCGGTATATCGGGAATGAAGAACCTAAAGGTCCTGAGCCTGGCACGCAATAATCTGAAGACCCTCAACGGCATCGAACCCTTGGCTGATACTCTAGAGGAGCTGTGGGTCAGCTACAACAACATCGAGAAGATCAAGCCCATCGAAGCGATGAAGGCTTTAAGGGTGTTCTATATATCCAATAACGTGATCAAGGACTGGGCGGAGTTTATGCGCATCGGCATTCCACCCAATCTCGCGGAAATCACATTTGTGGGCAACCTTTTAAACGAGAACATGGAACCGGCAGCCTTTACCGCCGAAGCAGTGCGACGTCTGCCCAATCTGAAGAAACTCGACGGGGAGCCAGTCATTCGCTAGAGGAAAACCAACGAACCCTGTTCTCTTATGTTCTAAATAAAGGCAAGTCAAAAGTCGAACAACAGAACCTTTGACCTTAGTTCCGTAGTTCGACTAAATCATTGCCAACAGTACAAGGCTTGAATCAAGAATTCCTCCGACAGCCAACAGTTCGTATGTGATAGGCATTTCAGCAGAAAACATTTTTCCATTGAATTTTCTTATTTTTCGCTTTGGCAGATTTTCCAATTTTCAATGCGTTCCCAAAGCTGCTGATGAGCTCCATTGTTTTGCCTGACTCATGTTGCACCCGCCTCCTAACCCAAACCCAAGTTTAAGCCCATTGGAGAATGTATATCTGTGGGGAACTATTCATAGATACTCTAAAACAAATCGGAGTTTTGAGGTTTTCCTGTTTCTTAAGTTATTATCTCAGGTCATAAAAATACATATTAACATTTTTTTTTTGCAATATCACTATACTTTACTTATTTGTTATAATTAAAGCTAAGTCTTAATTATTTTAGTATTACAGTAGAGCATTAATAACTTCATCTTTCTCACGTGATTTTTCCTTATTGTGTTTTTCGTTGTCTCAGATGAACAAGTTCGAGCTCCTGTTTTGCGTGTAAAGCATTGTTTGAATATTTTCGAGTTGTTAAGTAATGAGCTTTTCCTTTTCCTTCGGGAGGGGAGTGGGTTTCTCCAAGCGAGTGTTGTGGATTTTTAAATTAAACTATAAGGTTTAAGAAGCTTTTTTGAACATTTTGCAATAATTTCCATTGTAACCTGCTGTCTAAACACTGGATTTATTTCAATCAACAGCAAATAATCCATCAACAAACAATACATTTTTACTACTAAAACATAGGCCAGCAGAAAAATCAAGAAAAAGTGAAAACAATTGAAGCCTAAAGTTTCATATCCATAAGTTCGACAGGCTGTGCTTACTGTCGGCACATGGCATTTGTTTTCTGTGCATAAATAATCAACATTGTCAATGGTATGGGAGTGGCGGCCAGTCATAGATTTTTGGCAAACAGACAACTAAACAAAATATACGAGAATGTGAAGTTACTGTCTGCCAAACCGATAGACACCAGATAAAAACGTTGAATAAAATCATAAAAACGGCAGCCAAATCCCTGGCAAACCCTAAGTAAACCAAAGCAAACCAAACCAATTGCCAGACACGAAAGTTTAATGATACTTTTATGTCTTTTCGATTTAACAACTTCTCTATTATGGCTGTTCTTGCTGCTGCTGCTGCTCCTGCTGGTGCTGCTGTTGTTATTTGATAAACAATAATATTAATGTAAACATGAAGGCCGTCCATAGTTCGACATTTTGGCAGACAAACAGCAAACGAGACAATTGTACAATTGGATGCACACAAAAATATTTTCTGGCAGCCAGACTTGTCGCTTGGCTGATTAGGCGAGAAGAATCGAAATAAAAACTTGTTTAGGTGGTGGTAAAAAACTTGCTTTAATTTACAATTTAACAATTCGTGTTTTCAGTAAATTAGGTACAAATTTATGGCCCTCTAAACTCATTGATTTTATTCCATTAATATTTTACAAGTATTTTTTGGATATGGCAATTGACTTGTGACATTTTGTAAATCGTGTTTATAGTTATCAAGCAATTCATATTGATGTGACACTAAAATCGTTGGGGCTTTTAAAACCACTAAAACAGGTGCCTAAAAGAGTGCAATGAAAAACAGGACTTCGTATTCCCTTTTGACTGTCGGATTTATATAATTCCTAATGTCAAAACTCGCATATATGCATGATCTTCGGAACAAGATACTTAGAAATTAAAATTCCTTACCATATGGTAGTTTTCTGAACCAATTACAAAAATGTTGTCAATCTTAATGATTTTTATAGATGTTTATAAATACCACCTTTAAAATTTAAAAAACGTTGCCTCCTCCTCCGATTGAAAAATACGATCTTAATGCCAAATGCCGAAACGGAACAGTTTGTGGGTGTGTGTTTGCGAGGGCTTATACAAAATTTACGTTACAAGTTTGTGTGGCCAGCTCTGGCCATGTTGTTTTCTGGTCGTTGGCAACTCTGGCAATGACAACACCGAACCGAACTACAACACTCTCTTCCCAGGACAATCCCGCCAGGATATGTTAGTGTGGGCTGGGGGCAATTGTGGGTGGGTGTGCGAAACTTGGAGTGGTTTTTGCGCTGTGGTTGCGCAATCGTCTGTGTTTGTGCTTCTGGGCCCGGTTTTATTTTTCACATTTTTGCACTTGCTGTGGTCAAGGGTTGTGTCGGTGTTGCCAAAGTGTTGCCATATATTCTAAATATGTTGGTTCGCCCTTGTTGGCCAGTTGCGGCGGCAAAACGTAAGAGTGGCCAAAACGACAGTTAAACGCAAAACGGTCGAAAAGGCCACTTGGCAAACTAAACGCGTGATTTATGCCCCAACAATGATAAGAGACAGCAGGAGAGACAAAGCGTCGAGAGTTAGCAGACGGCCAAGCAGGTGAAAAATAAAGCTATCTTTATCCAAAAAATACCTGGGCTGCGTCGACACAATGCTGCATCCTTATTTTGATATTTAAAAAATATTTAAAACAAAGATATAATAAACTTTTTAATCATTTTATTGTGCTCACAGACAGGATATTGTCAAAATATTACATCAATTTTAGCTAATTAACATGCAAAACTATTGAACTGTTATTTCTGACCAGTAAAATAATCAAGACTTTCAAGTTTAAAATTAATACATTATTTTAATAAATTCATAAAAATGTAAAAATTAAAAAAAATACTTTAAGAATTAATGTGTTAGGATTATAGAACAGGAAATGTACATTCGAATTCAAATTTTCTTTAAAGTTCCTTGGTAGTTTTTTTCTTCAGCTCTTCATTTTCCGCTTTGTGAAGACTATACATTTTCTTAGAGGTTTTTTCGACAGGCGGTGGTATATCTTTAAGACACTTTAAGCTCGTCTATTCTCTCATGTGAGGCGGTGGCTCTCCCAAAGATTCGCATTCACATCTTGTGCCTGTCAAAGGAGCATAAATCTATTCAAAGTCTTTACGAAAAATCCAGACAAATGCCAGAGATTACAAAAAGATTTCGGCCCACATGATGCATGGGGCCTCGGGCAATGAGAGCGTTGTGAAACTGGAGAAAGAGCTGGAGGTCCTTGTGGCGAGGATCCATGTGTATGTGTGTGTGTGCCGGTCTATCTGGCACCACAAATGTAACCGAGCGACGCACACAAAAACAATTAAAGCCTGATTAATAGTTGCAGCCCACATCCGCCAGCCGTTCCACCTTTCGCCAAGTTCTCTTGGCCCGAAATCCCATCCACATCCTGCTCAGCCTGCCACTGAGGCTGAGTTATGACTTTTGCTGGCTGTTTAGCATACTTTTAGGCTTCAGACATTGTTCCCCAACGCACTTTGTTGTGTGTGTGTGTGTGTGTGGTCCTCGCTCGCGCATAAGTCAAATTGTTGTTAATTTCACAATGTTAAACCTTAAACCAAAATAGCAGCAGAGACATAACATAAATTCATTTGCATCCGACCCAGGGCCCCTCGCCACCCCCACCATTTACCATTCCCTTCGCCACATTGTATAAATCATTAAATTTTAATGCTTCCCAGGAGATCAATGAACATGACCGCAAATTATACTGAAGCGTGCTTTCAGGCGCATAAAAAGATTTCCCTGCATAAAATGCATTTAATGCAAACAAAAAAAAGCAATCGTAAAAACTTTCTGGTTTGAAGTTGCAGTTTGTGCGGGTGTCTGTCTGACTGCCTGTCTCACTCTCTCCAGCAGGCAAAAAACGGCAAACATGGTAATGATATTGCATTGGATGACTGACTGTCTAGACTTTAAATGTGTTGAGACAGGCAGCAATTTAATGGGAAAAAGAGTATATTTCACGATAGGGTTTTTTATCGAATGGTTAAATATTCTACTTTTTATAAAAAAGATATCACAATGCTATTGAAACCACAAGGGGCATGAAATCACTTTAAAAGGTGTCGAAAAATATGCAACAATATTTTTTAAAACCTAATGGACTCACTGGTTTCTATTGCACACTTTTAGACACCTTTTTATGGATTGTGAAACTCTCATCAAATTGAAAATAAGCAACCTTTGCACTTCAATTGCATATTTTTAATATAGTTGTTATGGCAACTTCCTCCTGCAAATGGCAGCGTAAACTGCACTTCCGGCGCCTTAAAGCATGCAGTACAAGATGGAACATGGCAGGAACAAACCAAGAGCCTTGCATATGCAAACGCACACTGAGATAGTAAATCAAAAAGTTCTCTAGTGCGAAATAGGGGCGAGCAAACCCTCTCTTTCAGCCAGCACTTGTAGATACTCGTACTTATTTCAACGGCATCTGCAGACACGCCCTCTTCGAGGCACTTTTACCATCGTATTTGACATGAGAAATCATAAACAAGTTGTGCAAACTTCTGCTCGCATACACAAAACTCCATTTTGCAACAGGAAGCCGAACGCACACACACACAGCCATATCCCCCGTCACCCATACAAACAGAGCTGGAAATGTATAAATTAAAATTTTCACATCGCGCAGTGGCCACCAAAAAGATGCGGACCGGCTAAAAAAGATGGGCCATCGCAGCCTGTGGATGGCAAATTTTGCATTCGTCCACAGTGAAGAGTACACTGAACAAAACAACACTTCGGCATTGTGCCAAAAACTAAATTACCGATTCAAGTCTGATATAATCCTATTTGTTATATGTTGATCTGTAGATTCAAGACTGATATAATAATATTTGTTATATGTAGATATATATTCGTTATATGTAGATCTTAAAGGCGCCACAAATATAAAATGTCTAAGAGTACGCAGATACGAAAATATACCCTTTCATTTCAAAATAAATATTTTGTTGCATACTTGTAGATACCTAAGTTTATTATTTGGCACCATTGAAAGTGCCTTAGGACTTTAGAAATGAGAATACTATAATTAATTCGTTTGTTTACTCTTTTATTTTATCTCTTTTTTATAAAATTAAATTATTATAATATATAAGATATTTTGTCTTTTATTTTATCTATAATTTTTCACAGTGTAAAATATGGTAGGCGAAGAAGGGAAACCATTCTGCATTCTGCTTAGAAATAAATCTTGAAAAGCGTATTAACTTTAAGATAATATTTTAACAATAATGTAAACATAAGAAATTAAAAATGGTTTAATTTAAGACAAATGATCATAGAATTAAGTTTCCAAAAGTAACTTTTTCTTAATTTTTTATGTTATTGATTTTTAAGGTAATAAAATTGGGTTTTCAGGTGATATTTAAATATTGTCTATTAACGTTTTTTTAAATTTAATAACTATTTTTCCAGGTCATGAACTAGTCTTTAGATATTGTGG